GGCCAGTACAGTGGTGGTGGTAGGAGCCTCTCTCGCCTCCTCAGCAGCACTAAGGATGTCCGAATGCAGTTTAGGCCTGCTCCCCGCTGGCAAGTGGACATCCCCTGAGGGCTGCCTGGCTGCCAGAGGGATGTCTGATTGCCAGCTTAGGCCCAATCCCCCGGGGAGCAGGCCTAAGCCAGCAAGTGGTCAGCCTCGAGGGGTCCCAGACTGCGAGAGGTCTCCCCTCCCCGTCCCCCACCCCCACCCCCGAGTGCACAAATTTTTGTACACCGGTCCTCTAGTCGTATATAATAAAAGGCTAATATGCAAATTGTCCTCCCCGTGACTGGGAGTTTGTCCAGGGGGCGGGGGCGGCCTGCCAACTGCCTGTGGTCCCTCCCCTGGCCCTACCCATGCATGAATTTGTGCACTGGGCCTCAAGTGTTTTATAAGATTACTGGGTTAGACTATGTAAGGCTATTGTTGTCATTCATTCATTGATCCCAGAGTATTTCATCAAAGGACTATATACAATGGCTAGAATACTTAAATGAGAAGAATTCTGTGCACAGAATTTTGCTTCCTATGCCAAGAAACTAATTTCTATAAGATGAAGATTTCTTAAGTCTTATATAAGGGCTAATTCCACAGCTTGTACTCTTAGAACTAGTCCAAATGACAGCAAACACACACACACACAATATGTTTCTTTCTTTAACAGCTATTTCTGGTTAATTCTAATCCTTTTCTCATTAAAGAGTTGGGAAATGTCTGGCCGGGCCATATAAGGCCTGAAAAATCATTTAGTCTGGCCCTGCCAATGCATTAGAGGTGAATTAACCAAATATAGCAGGCTAATTTTTAAGTTGATAATTTTGTATGGCTCATAAATGATGTTATAAATATCCAAATGGCCCTTGGCAGAAGAAAGGTTCCCCACCCTTGCATTAAGCTAATACTCTTTCTTATCTAGAAGTAAGCAACTGCAGTTTATATCCTTAATTGGGTCTTAAATGTTAATGCTATTTTTTTTCAAAAATTAATTTTTTTAAAAATATATTTTATTGATTTCTTATAGAGAGGAAGGGAGAGAGATAGAGAGTTAGAAACATCGATGAGAGAGAAACATCGATCAGCTGCCTCCTGCACATCTCCTACTGGGGATGTGCCCGCAACCCAGTTATATGCCCTTGACTGGAATCGAACCTGGGACCTTTTAGTTCGCAGGCCGACACTCTATCCACTGAGCCAAACCGGTTTCAGCAAAAAATTAATTTTTTCTTAAACCAACTATTTTAAGAGCAAAAAATTCACATTTAAAGACTTCATAGACATGTATACATTATCCTGTGATTCTTGTTTCTGAATTATACTGAATTGGAAATCTGAAAAGGCAGGTTTACTTAACTCTGTACTAGTCTTCAGATGCAGGTTAAAACAGCTATCTTTAAAAAAAAATTTTTTAGTTTCTTTATTGATTAAGGTATTACATATGTGTCCTTATCCCACCTTTGCCCACCCCCAATCCTCCCACTCATGCACTCACCTCCCTGCTGTCTG